TCGTCACCTTCCAGGCAAAGTATCACAAGCGCCATGCGACGTTTAAAAATTTCCGCCGCCATTTTATTTTTTTACAGAGAAATTGTTCAACGAAGCTGTCCGAAAATTTCACTGAATCTTCTTTGTGCTGCCGATAAAATTTAGTGAAATTTCCAAACAGATTCGACCAACAATTTCTCAGTAAAGAAATAAAATGGCGGCGGAAATTTTTAAACGTCGCATGGCGCTTGTGATACTTTGCCTGGAAGGTGACGATTTGAAGAGGGGAAACTTGGCGACCCTCAGATGTTCATACGGCGTTTTTCATTAGCACGGCAGAATGAGTCAGTTGCGCTGGTCACAGAATCGTGTTTTGCTGCTCGGCAGGGTTGCCACAGTCAGGGAAAGCTGGAAAATGTCAGGGAATTTTCAAAAGTTAGGGAATTCCTGGAACTGTCAGGGAAAATGACAAAAATGTCAGGGAAAAATTTTCAAGTCACTTTTATTTCCTTTCTAGAATGGGTTTGGTGTTCCAAACGACAAAACTTGCCTGAAAATCATTTCAAATCATGCCTTTTTAAGCATCTGGCATTTCCTCAATTGCCAGGGAGTCTTATTAAAATGTGACAGAAATCAAGGAAATATCATGGAATTTCATTGTCTAAATTATGTGGCAATCCTGGCTTGGTTCTTGTAGATTAGCTAAAAATAATAAGATCTTTCCAAACGACTACTCTTAACGTTCAATATTAACCGAGATATCACCCTTTAGAAAGTCGAATTTTTTACGTCATCTACCGCGGTAGTCACACCCTTGGTTTCTTCCACCCTGCTTTCATTCGAGGTTCACGTTGAACAACTAGCGCACGCATTTTTCACGTTGAGTATAACTAGGGAAATTGTGTGTCCCCCTGACAAATGAAAGCAAGGTTGAAGAATCAAAGGGTGTCACTACGGTGGCGACGTCAAAAACATGACTTTCCAAATGGGCGATATCTCGGTTAATATTGAACGCAGAAAGTTGCTGTTTGGATAGATCTTATTAATTTTAGCTGATCCACAAGAATCATACATCAAAACACGACCAGCGCAAGTGACCCATTCATCATGACATTAATAATTGGGCCGCGTCATGCAGAAAGGAACCAAGCCGCATCATTAACCAGCCAAATTTAAACTGGCAATTTAATGTTTTACATGAAAACGATTGTGCGGGTTTTTGTGTGAATTTCAGTGAGTTTTCTGCATCGTACGAAGCGAATT